TGTTAGTAATCTCCTCATCAAGCTTCTGCCTATTCCTCTTCTTCACCACAACCCCATCTAGACTCTGCTGCATTTGAGCCCGAACATCTTGCGGAACTCTCAGACAAGTTGAAGCATTACCCTTCTGACCGGCAAGGTGTTCCTTAATCCTATGAATCCCACCACCCTTAAACAATTTGTTACAATATATGCACTTGAGCTGAACCCTCTCCCCAATCTTAAACATTTGGCAGTGCTTCCATGCGGGGTCGTGTTTTTGCGATGTTATCGGCACGGGCTCCATTACCAGACCCGACGCCATGGCTAAAACCTCTGAGAATTAATTAGTTTATGCAAAAATGCCAAAACCCATTACAACAAAGACATGAACTTTCTTCTTTCTTCTTTAATTAGAATTAAACCAAATAATTAACAGAAACCCAGCAACCAAATGAAGCAGATAATACACTCAATTAAATTAATTGAATTAAAATTGAGAGAGAGAGAGAGAGAGAGAGCTTACTTGTTTCTGGTTTGAATGCTTCCAGATAAACAGAGAGGAAGGGAAACAGAACCGAGTTAGGGAGGTTAGAAGGGGGGCGAGGAGACCGGATGGACCGGTTAGGGTTGGCTCAACCGGTTATTTTGGCCATTATTTAGAATTTTTGGGTTTTTTTTGTCCGAAAGACCCGGTCAGGTATTAGTTGTAGCGGTTTTGGATAACGAGAAACCGAACCTTCCGGTTGCCTGGCTGACGAGCCGTGATTGTACTCTAAACTCGAGCCGGCCGCCGCGGGAAACTGAGTGAACCGGCGATTCGTGGTAGTTAAGTCTGGTTTTCTATTTCGTTCTGTCTAACAATATTTTTTTTAATTTCTTTATTTTGTTCAATTCAAAAATAATTTCACTAATTACATTGTTTAGTATGTAAAATTTTTGGCTGACTTTTCGTAGTTTTTTATTTTGTACAGTTTGCAAGTCACATTAATTGATGAATACAAAACTAGAATTAATGATGTTTATTTACGTCAAATGGGTATCAAAATTATTTTGATTATGAACTTCTAGCATTTAATGAAACACAGGTTTTGAAATTACTTCAGTTAATGACTTTTGAAGTATTTACTAACACGTTTATAGTGAGTTTCACATGGTTATGTTTAGTACGCTAAAAGAATTTATGAAAAATGATGTTAATATTATCACTTTTTGGGATCTAATGGACATTTTAAATTGTCAATGAGGACATATTTGTCACATCCCGGCCCGGGGCGGATCATTTTCCGGGCCCATTCCACCACCGTAGCACGATATTGTCCGCTTTGGGCTTACCATTCCCTCATATTTGTCATATCCCGGCCCGGGGCAGATCATTTTCCGAGCCCATTCCATCACCGTAGCACGATATTGTCCGCTTTGGACTTACCATTCCCTCACGGTTTTGTTTTTGGGAACTCACGAGCAACTTCCCAGTGGGTCACTCATCATAGGATTGCTCTAGCCCCCTTCTCGCTTAACTTCGGAGTTCCTACGGAACCCGAAGCCAGTGAGCTCCCAAAAGGCCTCGTGCTAGGTAGGGATGGGAATATACATTTAAGGATCATTCCCCTGGGCGATGTGGGATGTCACAATTCACCCCCCTTAGGGGCCCGACGTCCTCGTCAGCACACACGCAGCCAGGGTTAAGCTCTGATACCAAATTGTCACATCCCGACCCTGGGCTAATCACTTCCCAGGCCCGCTCCACCACCGTAGCACGATATTGTCCGCTTTGGGCTTACCAAGCCCTCACGGTTTTGTTTTTGGGAGCTCACTGGCTTCGGGTTCCGTAGGAACTCCGAAGTTAAGCGAGAAGAGGGCTAGAGCAATCTCATGATGGGTGACCCACTAGGAAATGGTAAGCCCAAAGTGGACAATATCGTGCTACGGTGGTGGAGCGGGCCTGGGAAGTGATCCGCCCCGGGCCGGGATGCGACAATTGGTATCAGAGCCTAACCTTGGCTGCGTGTGTGCCGACGAGGATGTCGGGCCCTTAAGGGGGGTGGATTGTGACATCCCACATCGCCCAAAGGAGTGATCCTTAAATGTATATTCTCATCCCTACCTAGCACGAGGCCTTTTGGGAGCTCACTGGCTTCGGGTTCCGTAGGAACTCCGAAGTTAAGCGAGAAGGGGGCTAGAGCAATCCCATGATGGGTGACCCACTGGGAAATGGTAAGCCCAAAGTGGACAATATCGTGCTACGGTGGTGGAGCAGGCCCGGGAAGTGATCCGCCCAGGGCCGAGATGCGACAATTGGTATCAGAGCCTAACCTTGGCCGCGTGTGTGCCGACGAGGACGTCGGGCCCCTAAGCGGGGTGGATTGTGACATCCCACATCGCCCAGGGGAGTGATCCTTAAATGTATATTTCCATCCCTACCTAAGACGAGGCATTTTGGGACCTCACTGGCTTAGGGTTCCGTAGGAACTCCGAAGTTAAGCGAGAAGGGGGCTAGAGCAATCCCATGATGGGTGACCCACTGGGAAGTTGCTCATGAGTTCCCAAAGACAAAACCGTGAGGGAATGGTAAGCCCAAAGCGAACAATATCGTGCTACGGCGGGTGGAGCGGGGCCGAGAAATGATCCCCCCCGGGCCGGGATGCGACAATTGGTATCATAGCCTAACCTTAGCCGCGTGTGTGCCGACGAGGACGTCGGGCCCCTAAGCGGGGTGGATTGTGACATCCCACATCGCCCAGGGGAGTGATCCTTAAATGTATATTTCCATCCCTACCTAAGACGAGGCCTTTTGGAAGCTCACTGGCTTAGGGTTCCGTAGGAACTCCGAAGTTAAGCGAGAAGGGGGCTAGAGCAATCCCATGATGGGTGACCCACTGGGAAGTTGCTCATGAGTTCCCAAAGACAAAACCGTGAGGGAATGGTAAGCCCAAAGCGGACAATATCGTGCTACGGTGGTGGAGCGGGGCCGAGAAATGATCCGCCCCGGACCGGGATGTGACAATATTTGTTGTAAAAAGATACCAATTAATGTTTTTTTTTTCCTTGAGGAAAGAAAGTGAATACCAAGGGGGTGGAAGGATTCACTTTATCCCAATTTTTCTATAGGCCGGAAAATCATTTCTCAAGCCTGAACTTACTATGCATGGGAAATGCAACATTTTCCCATTCCCCAACATTTTTTTTTCCACATACCAAATGTAACATTAAATCAGTAATTCAATTTCTACAATCAACTTATTAATCTGTATTGATTCCTTATTTTGCTCCCTGATTCATGATTTCTCACATTTCAAGTGAGAAAACATGTATAAAAGCTATAACATTGTTCAATTATGTGTTTATATTTTTCATTCCATGTACATGGGACACATGACTTGTCACATCCCGGGCTCGACTCCACCGTAGCACAATATTGTCTACTTTGGGTCTCGACCACGTCCTCACGGTTTTGTTTCTGGGAACTCACATGAGAACTTCCCAATGAGCACCCATCCTGGGATTGCTCTCGCGCAAACTCGCTTAACTTCGGAGTTCCAATGAACTCCAAAGCCAATGAGCTCCCAAAAGGCCCCATGCTAAGTAGAGATGAGAATATACATATAAGGCTTACAAGATCCACTCCTCCTGGACGATGTGGGATGTTACAATCCACCTCCTTTAGGGGCTTGACGTCCTCGTCGGCACACTTCCGGCCAGGGATTGGCTTTGATACCAAATTGTCACATCCTGGCCCGGGCCCCCACCACATCCCGGGCTCGACTCCACCGTAGCACGATATTGTCCGCTTTGGGCCTTGACCACGCCCTCACGGTTTTGTTTTTGGGAACTCACACGAGAACTTCTCAAATGATCACCCATCCTGGGATTACTCTCGCGCGAACTCACTTGACTTCGAAGTTCCGATTAACTCCGAAACCAGTGAGCTCCCAAAAGGTCTCGTGCTAGGTATAGATGAGAATCTACATATAAAGCTTACATGATCCACTCCTCTGGGTAATGTGGGATGTTACATGACTAGAGAGAAGTGATTTTTGCACTCCCTCTCACCATGCACATCTTCATTATTGTTGTAGTTTCAGGATTAAATAGATCAAAGAATTAATGAATAAAAAACAAAGAAATGCACTTGTTTCATGTAATATTTTTCTTTTTCTTTTTTTCTCCGAACCTACTTCCTTATTGGAACTATTCAAACGCATTATTTCCCAAACATCATCTCTTCACTTTTTTTTCACTTAATAAGCAATCCTCTTTTTATATAGACAAGCTTCATGACGCTCACAGATCCAATCCACATGAACAGAACTGCTATTGTAAAGGGACTCTAGTACAAAAAAGGATAAACTTATTCTAAAAGTGGAAAGCATCATTGGTTATGTTGAACTATCATGTCATCCTCCTTCAAGCTTTTGTAGGATGGCTTCCTTAGCTTTTCGAATTATCTCAAAAGGTACCAAATACCTTGGTAGCTTTTTTTTTTTAACAGACTAAACTACTCAGATTTATAGAAAGAATAATTGGAATTTAAATGCAAAAATACAAGCGTAATGTTTTGATCAACTCGTTTAACTCACATGCAATGCCTCAATAAATATCAATCTCATTCAAATTACCTATTAATGAAATCATGTTTATCAACCAAAATTGTATCATATTACCATTCTAACCTCTCACCAAAACTGAACAAAAATGGAAATCATGAGAAAGTTAGTAATTACCTGCACAAAAATTTTGTTGTTTTGTACGCCAATAACACAACCATGTAAACATAGCATGCCTTATTATGAAATTAAAAAGTAAATAAAAATAAAAAAATATACCGGCGTTAAAAGAAACTGCTCCATCATTGTTTCATTTTTTTCATAATTGATTTGTTTTTTAAATTTTAAAAACTAATCACACTTTTTAATAAATAAAAAAAATTAAATTAAATTGTTTACACTGTGTGGGCATCTGCTAGTCTTTTTAATAAGAAGGAAAATCTAGAACTCTTGCAATTTGCAAACCGCCATTGCATGTGCAGTTGTTCGTAAAGTTACCACTCCTTTCCGTGATGGCGAGAAAGAAGGAGCCTTCCCCTTTTCACTTTTCCACACGGAGTAAATAAAAGAGCCTCCCAGTTACCAAACTCACATCTCCGTTGCTCATATGAACAAATGCCAATCTCACCTGAAATCTTCTTCCTCTTCTCCTTTCTCATCTCCCTCTCCTTCACAGGTGATCAAATTGTCTCTCCTTTTTTATGCGAAATTTTTCGGTTACATCGGAGAGAATCGAACGCTGAACGTTCCTTATTTGGTGGTTTCTGTAAAATTTAGATTGACAAATAGCATTGTTGTGTGCAGATGGGACTCAACTCATCATAGTGAACAACTGCAAGGAAAGCATATGGCCCGGAATCCTTGGCAATGCAGGCCACACAACACCTCAAGACGGCGGCTTCCACCTCTCCAGCGGCGAGCAACAAGTCCTTAACGTCCCTGAAAACTGGTCAGGCAGACTATGGGGCAGGCAAGACTGCTGCTTTGATGAAAAAACCGGCAGAGGCACATGCCAAACGGGTGATTGTGTCGGGCTCTTACAATGCAGGGGACTCGGCGGAGTCCCTCCAGCCACTCTCGTTGAAATGACACTCGGAACCTCGAAATCCGCCTTGCATTACTACGATGTGAGTTTGGTTGACGGTTTCAATGTGCCGGTTTCGATGAGGCCAGTAGGTGGTGGTGGCGGTGGTGGGTGTGGAGTTGCTGCCTGTGAGGCTGACTTGAACGTTTGCTGCCCGCTTGCCTTGGTGGTCAAGAAACAAGGTAGGGTTGTGGGGTGCAAGAGCGCTTGCTTGGCCGGGAAATCGGACCGGTATTGCTGCAGAGGGGAGTTTGCAGACCCAGAGAGTTGCAAGCCTACTGTTTTTGGGCATCTTTTTAAGGCTATTTGTCCTAGGGCTTATAGCTACGCCTTTGATGAATCTACAGGGCTTAAGACTTGTTCGGCTCCTAGGTATGTCATTACGTTTTGCCCTCCTAAATATGGTTGATTTGAGCAGACCAAACCCTAGTGCAAAATGCTGGGTAGGTTTGGTGGGGTTTTCTTGTCTTGTCATTGCTATGTATTACTTTGGTTCTTTGGTATTGTGGTTTCAGTTTCTCTGAACAAAAATTTGTTGCTGGCTCCAGTTTCTATATTTGGTTAACTAGAATCTAGTCCGGTATGGAACCGATGTCTGTTCTTTGTTGGTATGACATGGATTACCTATCGATATCATTGTCGCAAATGAGTTAATGAAACTTATTGATACGTTGTTGATGCATTTACGACAATATCGATGCACATTCGTTAAAGGGCAAACGAAACATTTGAGATTTCATACAACAGCATGACATAATGAATCTGTAAATGGAATCCCAACTCGAAAAATTATTCGAATAAAAAAAAGTTGATTAGAAAATAAGGAAAACTAATGAAAAGGGTGCCATACATCAAAAAAATTTATGGAGGACTCCACCTGGTAAAACATTTGTACAGTCACGACCACAAATTCTACTACCGCCTCGCTTTTTACACCCTTAAAACTTGTACACTAAATTTATCTCCTCTGCAGGGGGCCTCAGGTGTGTTCACCGTCTGAGCCGCGACTACTCTAAGGTATATCCTCAAACTAACAATGTACAGTTTGAAGTACAACCAACAATCTTTGTTTCCGTTGAGCCTTATCCATCTCAATACATAGACAGAGCCTTTACTTGACATGTATGAAACAGAGGGGCTCACATTATCCTCAGTTAGCTGTACAACTTCGTTCCCGTGCCCCATCTAAGAAGCAGATGCCTGGGGAGCCAGAATGCTAATCCTCCTCTCTGCATAAGATTGAGCACCTTGTTAGCAATTTGAGAAAACCCGGATTCATATATCAGTAGCATAAGAATCCAAACATGAACGAGGAATAACAATACATCTTACGTTAGAAAATCATATTATTTATGCTAGAAACAACAATCAATAAGTATAAAGAAGTAATAAGATAGCGAAAAAGTACCCCCAGCAGCAACAAGTTTCTCTACACGTGCAACTATATGCTTCCCATAAGTATACTTCTTCAGAGCATTCAGATGAACCTTAATTCGGTTAAGGATTAGTTCAAGTTGCTGATCGTCACAAGTTTCCAGCACTTTCTGTACAACATAGTTTGCGAACTGATCCTTCATCATCGCCTAAATTCAAACAGAACAAGAATAAGCAAGGATATTGAAAGACCCTAGTCTATGCATATTACCGTCTTAAAAACCAATCCCTGGCAAATCATTTTCCTAAAACCACGTAGTACTTGGAAAGTTTGATAATACCAAACTGAAAAACCATCACAATTTAAAAGTTTGTCGACCTCATTCGAAAAGTCGGCAATGTTACTAAAAAAAGAAAATGATATGCATTAACAAATTCAAGCTTTGAATAGTCATTACTAGCACATTGTTCAATCTTTATTACATACTAAGGACACGATCCAAATAATTTGCCTAAACAGCTAGATGCATCAAAAAGCAAATGATTCGCAAAGATGAGGCAAAGTGTCGTTGAGACTTTTAGAGGCAACAATTAACTTTTATGTGTCATAAGATATAACAGACAACATCATAGCTATTGATCAAAGATAATAACTGGAAGTAAACCCAACGAGTTCACTAGTATTCAAAAGTTCAACCTAAGAAACCATCATTTCAGGTAACAGCATAATCATAATAAAAGTAATCATAAGAGCTTCGGATGTGTATGGATAAGTTACTTCAAATTGTAACTATCATAAAATCCCCAAAAGTTAGAGACATCGACTCTCTTCAGCACTTTGAAAAGGATCCCACTTAGTTCGGGAAACCCAAATACGCAAACTTGACCCGATTATTAGAAGATTGCACATTGAGATAAGAAAAGCAGTAAAGATAAATAAATAAAAAATACAGAAAATTATAATACAATGAAAGAGGACATTGACCGCACTAAAAAGTTTATAGTAACCAGCAAACCTGAAGGGGCTCATTTTCATCAGTGGTACCAAGCATCTCAGTTACAAGGGCCTGCCGTTCAGCAAGAGTTCCAAAACTTAAACACTTTTCTATGACATTCGACGCAAACTTTTGCTGGCTCATTTGAACAATCTGCCCGGTTAGTTCCTTAATTATACATGACCGTTCATGTGGCTTTCCATGTTCCAGCACATGCTGTAAAAGTAATTACAATCAGTTAAACTGAGTTCAATGTAAACGAAGAACAAAACACATAATTTACTTTATACAGCAAAGGCTACATATTGTTGTTTCCAAATTCAACCACAATTTAAAGTATCCACAACTCCTTTCTGGGATAAGTAAAAAAAGAAAGTTCACGAAACCAGTTATTACATGCACGTCCTTGAGGTAAACGTCAAGCTACCAACTTAGGGGACATTGGATCAATTGTAGTGGCAGCCTTTTTTTTTTAATTTTTTTTTTACGGTTTCTGAGTTGGCTTATGCAAACCTATTCTGAAATCTACAGCAAGTTTATAAAGCACAAAGGACCAAAGGTATAAAACATTTATTACCTCTTTTAAAAAAATATTATGTCATCAACCTGATGTAATGGCTCTGGTACAAAACCAGAGGCAGGGAGGTAACTCTCTGAGTAACAGTTCAAAGCATGTGATTACGGTTCAATTAACAATAGCATCTACCAAACTATACTTCCACAGATCCATCACCAAATATATTATTTGTCTTTCGACTCATTGTAAATGCAAACAAAACCGTATTGAGTTAATAAATTGCACCAGGAAACAATCAAGTATGGGTGCATAAACTCAATCAATAAGCCAAGTAAGGTGTATAAACATAGCTCAAAGAAAACAAAAATGAAAACACTAAATTGGTGGGCGAGGGGTGGACTGGAGCTGAAATCATCTCATTTAAATAGAGAGCTCTATTTGATACTAATATCAAGAACCCTATCTCACCAATGGGGTATTATTCTTTTTAACACTCCAAATCCAGGCTAAATTGAACTGTGACTGATGAAAAGGCTGGAATCACGCCCACAGAATGAACATGATGGACACTAACAGTCCCATTATTAGCATGATACGGAACTTTATTGACAGGTTAAGTGAAGTCACAAATTCATGAAGAGCCCAAAAAAATTTGAGCTTAAGGTGAGACCAGAATGTAGAGAAATCAAATTTGAACCTCTATACTGTATAAAATAAGAACCAAAATAACATCCAACAATGAAAGTTAGTCGATTAAATTAAGAGGTCTGTTAGATACTTCACAACAGATTCCATCTAACCACTGTGGGCTCATTTTATTTAACAATAAGAAGGTAGAGTGACAAAAGTTTCTTAGAAATGAAACAAACCTGCACGACATAATTTCCATACTGGTCTTGTGCCAAAATGCAAACGGACTGCAAAATCTCATCCATCATTATTTGCTGCGTTTTGGGGTCATGGCAGTGCTCCAAAACTCTCTATCAAATCAAAGTTACTATACCATTTAGAATGGCAATACCATTTAGAATGGCAATAGTTGCATTCAAAATCATTTATCTTCAACATATCCAACATATATGATCAATAGGCATATGCAAAAGTATGAAGGCGTGAGTCAGAAAGCAGAGGTTCTTAACCTGTATGACACGACAACCATATGGATGAGTTGAGAGTGTCACAACTTGATCATAAAAAGTTGAAACAACAAACTGGATGGCATCTTCAGGTACACATTCAATACACTTCTGAACAACATGGTTGCCATTTTGATCACGAACACAACGCATAACATGACCATCCAGTTCAGCTACCATTTTAGTCTGCTGGTCCAGCTCAACAAATTCTATAGCCTGAACAGCAAAATGAAAGCACATGAAAGCCAAGTTCTGGTGATTTGATAGATATCATCAACCATTTATTTTTCCTCGAAACCTAAAAAAGAAAAGAATCTACATAATTATGAAAGTAAGAAACCTATGTTTTTTCTCTAAAATCTTAGATGATCTATATCTACTAGGTCGTATTCCGATTCCCAGGAAGTACAAGAACAATGAGCTCAACTGTTGTGACTCATGAAATTCAAACTTGAGAAAACCCAAAATTAAATGGAGTTTTCTTAAGAGACTGAAAAAGTTTGTTCGTTTTACTAACAAATAATTTCCAGGGATACCCCCAAACATATTAGGTTAGATACTTATCTTGTCTCCTGCAACACATACAAATATGTAGAAGGTAATCCTTCTAAGTTTGTATGATAGCCAGATAGTAAAACTTGCAAGGGAATATCAATATGATAAATTAGTTACTGTCTTCAGTCAACTAACTATACATACCTTCTGGATCACTCGACAGCCATACATTTGAAGGCTAAGGGTCAGCACATGCCCGGTGAGCTGGTCCGCAAGTTCTCTTATTTGTGCTGGAGTTCCATGTTCAAAAAACTGAACTCAAAGTGCAAAAGTCAGACATATAAAAGAAAAACTGCAAAACTTATTTTCATTCAGGCACTAAACCACTGCATATCATGGACATGCTAATACACAGAACACATAGCACATAAAGGCAAATCAAACTAAGGGGAAATGGTACCTTCTGAATCACATAATTACCAAACACATCGGTCATAAGAGATAGGGCTTGCGGCATGATTTCATCAAAAACCATGTTCTTTTCTTCAATTGTGGCAGTTTCAAGTTTCTGTTGAATAAACCGACTTCCATACTGGTCGGCACTGTTCAAGGTATTATATGAGTGAATTAAGTTGTGGATATCTGGAAACATACAAGGCACAAAGTTTTAAAGAAACAGCGACAAATATTTACCTGAACTCAACAACATGCCCTGCAATCTCTGAAAGTTCAAAACATCTAGTCTTATTACTTTTGAACTCATCTAGTAAAGAGGACGCAAAACTTTCATCCAAATTTCCACCAGTTTCGGAGTGCCAAGCTCCCATGAGACCTCCACCCATGTTCCTCAACCCAGAAGAAAAGCGCAAGTTCCGCTCACCGTGCCTGGCAGGACTACCAGGTCCAACAGGAGAGTTTGGAAGAAGGGGACCACCCAATGGTGTTCCAGAATAAGACATCCCATGCCCATATGCTGGATTTCCATAATAACCGTGATTCAAGCTAGCAGACTTGCCAACGTAGGGAGCACCAAATTGTGATTTTTGGGGTGAGAGAAATTGCCCCAAATAAGCTTTTTGCAAACCAAGTAAATCCATGTACATACTACCCATGCCTTCCCTATCTTTTGTGGGATCATTAAGGGCTGCAAGCTGTGCAGCTGCATATTCATTTGATCTCAAGTACTGAACATACAATGGGTCCATCATGGGAACCTGAAGAGCACTCCCAGTACCATGATTTCCAACCCTAATGTTCTGCAATTCAGCGGCTGCTGCCAACAGATTTGGTCCTAGAGACATACCTCCAAATGCTCCAGAGTCCAAGCCACCCATTGCAGATGCAGCAGCAGCATTTTCAAATAAGGGTGGTAAACTACCATTACCAAGGGGACTACCCATCATGGATGGAGACGAAGGACTACCAGAATAGCCGTAGTTCGGAAATGAGGTATTGTCTACATTCTGATAGTGGGAGTGTAAGCTTCCTCGGCCATGATGAGTTGGCACAGGTC